GTTAATGCTAATCCTAGAAATGGAATAATCATCACTGAAATATGTTAATTCTAATCCATAGACCCAGAAACTAGTATGTGGGAGGGAAAAATATAGGATGAGCAAAAAAGGTAAAGAAAAAAATGTTAGTTTTTGGTAGGCTTAGTTTGGAATATTCTCACTGAAATTTTCTGAGACTCAAACTAATGAGTTGCTGATTTTCAGTCAGCTGGTGAGACAGTGAGGGAATGTGGGTTGGCACATTATTTATGAAGCATTCTGATACTCTTTGAAGAAAAGTGTTTCTGTAACTATTATTGAACTCTGTTTAATCATCCATGCATAGCAGATGGATGAATTGCTTTCTTCTTTTGAAGTTCTGGTCTATGCATTAAGTCAGGATTTATTTTGCTGGGGGTTTTGTCTGTTTTGTTTTGGGTTTTTTTTCCCCGTTTTTTTTCAGTTGTGAAACTTTCACTCTTTTTCTTTTTCATTTAAGAACACACACAGCTGTTAAAATTGCCCCACGATATAGTGCACCTGTAATTCATGTCCTGGATGCATCCAAGAGTGTTGTGGTTGTAAGTTCTAAATTATAGTTTCTCATCCATGCAAAGTATATGCCCTGTTTTTCTGTTGTGCTGCTCTTTCTTTCCTTTAAAGCTTAACATTATGGCAGAAAATTGAAGAGTCACAACAGAGACCAGTTTCTAAACTACTGTTGCTTCAGTTAATTTTTGCCGCCACATGGTTATCTCATCTGACTTGTGCCAATTATTGTCACTGGATACCCTTATTTAAATGTGCATTTCTCTAGTGAGGGTGACATGATTCATTCTGAGTCCTTGACCGTAGTTTTGACATATTTTATGGTGAAGAGCAATGGGATTAGATGTAATCTGCTATTCTCTCTATTCTGGATGTATTTCTGAAGTTAGTGATACGGCTAGTTAGTACTACAAAACATCTGGCTCGAGTTTTCTGGGATGGATGCTCTCTCTATCAAACAAATGGGTAGTCTTAGCTGGCAGATACCTGCTGAAAGATGTAGGCCAAGCTGTGTGGTGTTTCTGTGACTATTCAGTCTCTAAAGTCTAGGTATATTCTTCTGTCAGGTCTTTCTAGAGCCAGACTTGGCTCTGCTAATATTACCTGTTTAGTAGGGTAATACTCTCAGTAATAATAGCTTGCAAATTGGTAATAAAGCTTAGTTTAGTGTTGTCAAGAGTAACCGGAAACAAGAGTTTGAAAGACAGATAGTTTAGGCTGAAGTTCATACTTTGTCTGTACTATAGTGTGTTACAGTATGTACTTAGTGCATTCTCTGTACATTTTTCAGTGCTCCCAGCTCTTAGATGAAAGTGTAAAGGATGATTTCTTTGAAGAAATATTAGAGGAATATGAAGAAATTAGACACGAACACTATGAGTCTCTCAAGGTACAAATATAATTGCTTTAGCTTCTTTTCTTGTTTGAAGTGATTAGTACTTGCCTCATCACTAACTGTTTCAGCTCCTTGTGAGGACCTTCAGGTATATTTGTGCTGATGCAGTAGAATTGATGGAAAACTAGAATTGCTTATGAAATCAATTTTTCTCACCTATAAGGGAATATGCCACATGCGTCTAATGCATGCTTGGCAAATTCTTGATTGTCCTCAATGGAGAATCAGTGGTATCTGGGACATCTCTATGAAGCTGGAAGTCATGTCCACTTAACCAACTTACAGGAGACCAATGCTCTCCTGGAGCAGTAATTGGCAACAGGGAGCTGCACTGGGGTAACTAAAATGGCACTAGTTGCTTTTGCCACGCTCTGTTGAGTATTTTATGGCACCATGCTTTCCTGACATGTTCGTATTGTTTAGGGATCTGAGCAGTCTCAAAGTAGAGAGCTGAGGCTGCCATTTGAGGAAAGTGAAGAGAAGGAAGCAATAGAATGTGCATGTGGACTGTGCAAATTAACAATAGGAAACAACATATGACTCCTCGGAGGCCATCTTTATTTATAAACACAAAAGCAAACTGAAAGTCGTCTGGCTCTTACTTGATCTCTTCATGGCTCTTACCTGATCTCTTCATAAAGAAAGATAAAGCTTGAGGCCTCCGGCTGAGGACACTTGGCTTGACCACGTTTAAGACTGTCTTTGCCCAGTAAACCAGTCCACTAAGCTGAGGTCGGCAAGTGCAATACTCTCCTTTAAGCAGAGGTTAGCAGTGAATTCGTGGGCCTTGCTGAAGTTATTACAAATTTCCCGTGCCTTTCAGAAGAGCCAGTAATTTGCCCAGAAGCCTGCTGCAGTCACTGGTCGTGGTGTCAGTGCAATCCTAAGCTTTTCACAGGCAGTAGGAGAATATCTTGCTGAATCTGTATTATCATGTAATTTGAAGTAATAAAGGAATGTCTGGTGTAGTTCAGAGGAACTAGAAATCTTGTAGGCTGGTTTCATTAGAAGTATACAGGAAAAAATTATGGTATGGTTGTGAAGTAATCTTGCTTTACACTTGTGAACTGGGAGTTGTTGGAACTGAAATTGCCTGTTGACAGGTTTGTCTCAAAGACCATTTTGAGTAAAACTCTACCATCAAGTCCACAGTTACAGTTTATCTATCTGAAAGATGACTGGCTTTGTGAAATTAACCTTGATGTCCATACAGGAAAGGAGATACTTGTCTCTACAGCAAGCTAGAAGAAAAGGTTTCCATAATGACTGGTTATCAGGCCATAAACCAGGTCAGTTTAAATGTTGTTTGTTGCTGTGGCTTTATTTTATTTTATTTTATGTACTTGTTTTAGATATATTTTTAATTAGATTATGCTTCATTAAACTTCACGATATAGTAGTGTAACAGGTTGAGTAAACTGGTGTCTGTCTGAGCAGAGATTTTTTTTGTTTTGCATAAATTTGAGTGCCCTGTTTCTGCTGTATATTTTTCACAGTATATTTTAAAATTAATCAACAGTTAATAAAAAAAAAATGGTTAAAAAATCCTAAAACAATATGTTACCCCTAACACCACATAATCAAAGATAAGTCTAATGCCTGCTTTCCAAAATAATGTCAGACTGGATCATTATATTGCAAAGCTTACTATACCATATTTAGGGAACACACGTTCTGACATGGCATTTATATCAACTTCTTCCTTACCCTCTTTCCTACGCTTCCCTCGTCAGTTTCTATACTGGTTTTTTTTTTAATTTTTTTTTTTAAATTAGAGACTAGAAGTATAAACAGCGTTCCACAAGGAGATGCATCCTGCAGTGACATTAGCACTTCACTGCTTTCTGTCATTTCATTTACAAGACTCAACAAGATGCTAATTTTCAATAGCTCATCTTAATAAAGGCTGTATTATAAAGTATTGAACAGCACAGACAAAACAAATGCAAACCTTGGGGCTGCATCGTAACATGGATCCATCTCGCTTTTTTATTTGTGCACATGCATCTGAACAAGTGTGTGATGGCTGCAAAAGTTCTTATAGATTACATATTCATTCACAGAACTATTCTACAGTACCATAGCACATAATATGTCTGTGTATAGAAAGTGTGATTTGTAAATATGAAAGGTATATGCCCATAAAATACATTAGGTATTGGTAAGTTGTGTAGGTTTTTTTGGTCTTCTGTTTTGGCCAATATTTTGACCAATGAAATAAGTTCAGAAGCCCAACGGCTAATAAGTGTTGATTTAGATGAAAAAACAAAAGACTTTAAATTTGCTGTTTTCAACTTTATATGCCTTTCATGCTTTTTTTTTTTTATCACATTGTAACTGTAAGAGTATGGTATGACTTGGGAACGATATGACAGTGAGAATTCTAAGGCAGTTAGTTTGAAAGAGGTCATTTGCAGTGGTAGAGGCTGGTGAGCATCAATTACGCTGCACATATAAGAGCAATATTAAATGATTTTCATCGTGTCAGATTGGACTTCTGATTCTTACAGTTAAACCAAAATTCATGGGCACAAAAGTCTTTGAAGATTATGACCTGAAGAGGCTGGTAGAATACATTGACTGGAAGCCTTTCTTTGATGTTTGGCAACTTAGGGGAAGGTATCCCAACCGGGGTTTCCCTAAAGTTTTTAACGATAAAACTGTAGGTGAGTATTGAAATTGCATTTTCTTCACGTAAATAATCCTAACAGACCTGCTGTGATGCAGTAAGATTCTGAAGTGTCACTGAAATAATTTGTTTAAAGCAGCACTTAGTGAACTAAGTATGAGGCTGAAAAATAAATGTAGAAAAATGCTCAATCATCTTATTTAGAATTCACCTGCCACAACTCAGGGAGCTATTTTAATGAATCAGCAGCAGAGCACTTGATATGTCTGTGTCCCTGTTGTGGATGAAGATGGTGAAACTATTAAGTAGGCCTTGAAAGATGTGATGAAACTGCAAGGGTTCTGGATCTGCTGCACTGTGGTAATGTAGGTGCACACACATGTTCTCTGTTGCTCATTTTATTCTGCATCCTCTACCTCTACTAGAATGGTGCTGGCTGAAATGTTGGGGTTTTTTTCCAAGATATTTGTTGTTACAGCTGTGTAGACATAACCACACTGCTCTATCTCTGTTTGCTGGAGCTGACATATTGTTGCAGTCATCAGAGAATTATGTGGAAAATGAACCAATCTTCAGCAATTCTTAAACCTGTTCAGCCAGTTGTGAAAACGTGCCTTTTCTAAAGGATTCTTTTTTTTTTTGATAGGTGAAGAAGCAAAAAGAGTTTATAATGATGCTCAAAATCTACTGAAGATGTTGATTAATCAAAAGAAATTACAAGCTAGAGGTGTGGTTGGATTCTGGCCAGCTCAAAGTGTTCAAGATGATATCCATATATATTCTGTAGAAGAGGCAGTGGGAACTTCAGAACCAATAGCAAAATTTTATGGCTTGAGGCAACAGGTAAAATGACAGAACATTTGTTAAATAAAGTGGGGTTTTTTTCTGAATCGGAAGAATGTAACAGAAGTGCCCGATTAAAATCGGTGAAAAAAAATGGTGATTGTAATCTATCTGTAGCTGTTGTCTTGCCATTTTGTTCAGTAATAACAAGATCTTGTTAGTGATGTCCCAGGTATTTGTATTGTATTTTGCATTGTAGTATTTGTACAAAATGCTTTATAGATTTGACATCTTCAGATCAGATATGATGTGCATTTTTTGTCTTCATTTTAATTATTAAGATGTCTTAAAGACTGGGCTGTATAAATTCATCACATGGATCCTGTGTGCTAAATTAGAACCTAATGAACCTTAACTCTACAAAATCCCTGGATTCTGCCTTAGATTAAAAATTCTGTTAAAAATGTGTTAAAGGTTAAAACACTTATAATTAAAATAGCTGGAAAATAAAGTTCGATGGAGATAAGTGGTTTTCATAGTCTTAATTTTAATGTAAAATTCCCCATATGAAGAGGCAGTTTAGAATTAGTTGGCTGCTAATTCTGATTGATAGAATTATTATTTTAAGTGTTAATGCTTGAATCATACTTACCTAGATTTGCATTTATTTTGATAGATTGAACATTTTCAAGATACTCTGCCTCTCCTTCTTCCTCACCTTCTGACTCGGCTTCTTCATAGTTCACGTGTTCATAGTCATCAAACATCAAACATGGCAGAAACAAATTTAACAAATACCTACATTTCTGGAGTATGGTATTCTATGAGGACAGTCCTGTGCCAATATTGCAGAACTGTACTAAGAAATACATGACTTTAAGTTTATCTGTTCCAGTTCCCTGGAACAGATTATCTGTTGCATGGAGATGTATCTAGTGTATCTTGACAATCCATGGCAGCTGTTTATATAAACTGCTCTCACAAGCATTCAGGCAGGGCTGTTCCAGGGCCTTACTACCCAGTTAAACATTTTGATATCCCATGTAAATCAAGTTTACTACAGTTTCTTTTCCTGGCGTTTTCCCAGGCTTCTCCCAAGGAGAAGATCTGATTTGATGTTCTTCTTGCAATGGGTTTTACTATTGGAATACTGTTATTTTCCTTAGTCTTTTTATCTTTATATATATCCCAATTTATTCAGGCTTTTCTCAAAGGTTAAGACCATGAAACTGTGCTATTGTGGGTAGTGTTCTTCTGGACTCTGTGTATTTTAGCTGCATCTCTTTCGATCAGATGTACATAGTAATTCAGCAGAGGCTTCACCAGAACAAAGTAGAAGCGAATAATTGTCTCCTGTTTCTTCTATGAAATGTTCCTTTCAGTACACAGAGTTCCCTCCATGGCATTGGCACTATTAAGGATGTGATGTAAATCTTGAGGCTGGAGGTGCATTTAGAATTTTCCTTAGCTGTAATGATTAAAAAGGAACCTTAATATTAACATAGATTTCACCTGTGTGGAAAAAGGATATTTCTTCAGTTGTATGGTACTTTCTGTAACTTAGTATGTTATAGAAACGAGGGAAACAGTTGACCATTTTCCTCTGTTTTTTGGGGGGGGGTGGGGTGTGTGGTTTTTTGTTTGTTTTCTAAACTGCAGTTGGGAGCAGTTGGGTGGAAAGCATTGTTAAAATATTGTCATAGAACAAGGAAACTTGGAGAGGAATCTTCAGCCAAATGATAGCCAAGATATAACTTTTATGCTCCGTTAAGTGGGGTAAATTTACAAGAGCTGTGCCACTTTTAAAATAACAGTCACATTCCCCAATGAATATGCTGAAATGATCTGCAACTGTAAAACTTCCAGTTAGGTGCTACGGTCAGCATTCAGTCACCTCTTTCTGTTCCTTTTTTTTCCATTTCGGAAAAGGATTCAGTGAGTGGGATATTTCCTATTTGCGTTGGGATTAAATTTTTCAGTAGTGATAGATGCATTCTGGTTGCATTTGCATGCGGCTAGTGTAAACCTACATCCTGGGCTTCTCTTTTGTCTGTGTTACTGAGCACATGGTTTGCAGCATAAGAAAACTAGGAGTGCTTACAAACTCTCACAGCCATTCTAAAATGGAAGTTGCGGAAGAATTCTGCAGTTCACATAACTGGGATGCGAACCATCAACCATCAGTTTTGCTAAAAAAAGTGGAATCTGAGTGCTAGAGATGGAAAATTCCTCTTCTTACCCAGTGGTTGGCACAAGAATGTTCCTTCTTTTGTAATAATTTGTCTGCAGAATAAGTTGTTAAATCTTACTAGCTGTAAATAGAAGCAAAACATCTCTCTATATGCATCCAGCACAGCATCTCTCTCATTTGACATTTTGCTCTTCAGTGATACAAACATCCTCAGAGTAAGAGAGGTGTTTTTCTTCTAATTCAAGTACAAGAAAGCTGTCATGGCTCAAAGACTAGTTAGGCGTTTGTCAGAAATGCCTTAAGTCTTAATAGTGGTCTTTAGATTAGTAGTGCACTAGTATTTAATATATTTTTAAAATGTTCTGATTTATTGCATCGGTTCTGTTACTTTAGGCTGAAAAGGACTCTGCCTGCACAGATCCATATTACTGCCTCTCTGACTTCATAGCCCCACTGGATTCTGGCATTTGTGACTACTTAGGCCTGTTTGCTGTGGCCTGCTTTGGTGTAGAGGAGTTATGCAATGAATTTAGGAAACAGGATGATGAATACAACATCATAATGGTAAAGGCTCTTGGCGATCGGTTGGCAGAGGTATGAGGTTTTATTATGTGTTTCCGTGCAAATTTTCTGACTGCACTAGATTTGCTTGACAGGTTGCTGTTTCAAGTTTTAGCGTAAACTTAAACTGTTGCCTGCAATGTATGCTCTGCATTCAGTCTGAAAGTGAACTGTTTCTATTAAAATTGTCTTGAGAGGAGAGTCCTCGTCTGAGCCAGAGGGGACTTTGCTGTCTGTATCTTCCAGCTGCAAAAGCATCTCTGAATTCTTTATGAGGGTTTTGATGACTGATAGAACTTGGTAGATTTTGAACCAAGACTGAATTATATATAAGAATTATATTTAAGTCTTGTTTTATCTGCATGAGAATGTGTTGGACCCAGGTGCGATCCACCAATTATATTCTTGAATTGCTGACATGCTTTAATGGTGACCATGCAGATGTATCCAGGGTACAAGTCTTCTGAGTTAACATCTCTTAGGTTACACAGACATGCTCTTTAAGCTCTAACTGAAGTGGTTTAGAAAATGCTGTCCCTTCCCTTCTACCCGTCTATCCCCATCTGCCTGGCCCCATGCTTACACCTGAGTAACCATGTTAAAACTTACAGGAACTTCAGCGCAATGTAAATAGGGTTTGCTGTAGTTTTTTGTAGGTGTTTTTTTTTTTTGTAGTTGTTGTTTGTATTTCAAGCTATAACAGAGTCTCAGAAATTATTATTTGACGCCATCTAAAGATGTTTACTGAAGTGGAAATTTCTCCTGAAGGCAACCATTGCTGGCAAAATAGTGTAAGCTGTAAGAGCAGCTAAGAAAAGCTGTTGCTCATTTTCAGCTAGGTCCTCCGCTAAAAAGAGCGGTGGCCTTCCATAGCTAGGCCTGGACGAGATACCCAGATAGTCAAGACCTAATGATGTATTGCTGCCATAGGCTAATGAACTTCATCTTTTCCGGTTACTTGTCCACATTTTTACCTCTTTGAGTATGTAGGATTTTAAAGCAGGACAACCAACAAAACACTGTCTACCAATAAGAGAAAATACTTGAATTAGGAAAGTAAGTCCTGTATGTGAATTTTAATGCTCTCAAATTTCTCATCTGTGATAATAGCCCCCTGAAAAATTAAAATGGCAATGGGGAGGAAGTCTCTATCATTGTTTGTCTTCATCAAATAGCTAATGCATCAGTCTGCACAAATTAAAAAAAAAAAAATCAAAAAAAATCTTTGCATTCTATTCCAAGGCATTTGCTGAGGAGCTCCATGAAAGGGTTCGAAGGGAATTCTGGGCTTATTGTAGTACTGAGCAGCTAGAGCTCTCTGACTTGCGCAGAATTAAATATGAGGGAATTCGCCCTGCCCCTGGATATCCAAGCCAGCCTGACCATACGGAAAAACTCACCATGTGGAAACTTGCAAACATTGAGGAAACAACAGGTACCTCTGTCTGCTTTACTGAGATTTTTAAACTGTTTTTATGTTGTAAGATTGAAACGGCAACAAAACAGCACATTGGGTGATGCAGAACTACATTAAAAAACCCAAACTGAAGCAGTTCTGGGAATTGCTGTCTTCTCCTTTTTATTGCCATTTTTATTTTGCCTCATTCTAGAAAGAATTTGCAAAATACTGCCAGTGCTTTTGATGAAGGAGTTGTGCCCATAATTAGCAGATTGCATGCAAACAGGTTCTACTGCACAGAGAAATATTCTAGCATCCTTATGGTTGCAAGACGGCATTTCAGATATAAACAGGAAAAAAGCTAATTCAGCAGTGTATTTGCTGGTCCACAGACACCTTAAGATGTTAGCTCTTAAGAAAGGAATGATTTCCATTTGTTTTCCTCTGATATTTTACGTATCAGTCATTTCACTGCTACTTCCACAATTCCAAAAATACCTCACTGTATTTCAGAACCTCTAGTTACCCATTTCATTTGCCAAAATGTCTTAAGTTTTTTTCCTTCAAACTGCACAGTTACTCTACAGTAATACTGTAATGAAAGTCTGCAGTATATGTAAAGCTATGTGTATTTTTTTTAATAGATAAGATGTGGAGAATAGTTTTGGTTTTAGTTTATCTGAAAGCTGCTTGGGTTTTGGGTTTGCCTGAAGCTGCCCAACAAAAAAAGGCTCTGAATCTATGCTTATTATCAATTCAGAAAATAAGAAAATTTTCATTCTCTTTTACAGGAATTGGTTTAACTGAATCACTGGCGATGATACCTGCTTCTGCAGTTTCTGGCCTCTACTTTTCCAGTCCCAAATCCAAATATTTTGCTGTCGGCAAGATATGTAAAGATCAGGTAACTTGGACTGTCCATTGTGGTAACCTTACAGCATTCAAAACCACCTTATGAGCAAAGTTCCACAAAATTTTGTGAACAGTAAAACCTGGAGTTTCAAAATCTTCATCATGTTTTGTGGTCCTTTTGCAGGTTGAAGATTACGCACGGAGAAAAAATTTGGCTGTGGCAGAGGTGGAGAAATGGCTGGGACCCATTTTGGGATATGATACTGAATAATTGTGACGCTTGTGAGCGAACATTTTCTTTTGATGGTTTGTTCACCAGAAGGAACAAGAAAATCCAACAAGAAAATCCTTCCCACTGAAAACAGCTTTCTTCCAACCATCCCGTTAACTTGTCTGATTGTTTTCAATCTTTGATCAAGGAACTTGTATTTCAAATGTGCCCTGTGCTCTTTGCTTGGGACCATGAATGCAGTGCAGATCCCTTAGTCATACCCATATGCTTTTATTTATTTTTATTTCTTGCACAAATACAGTAGCTGAGCAGCTAGATGGAGGGTGACATGGGAAAGCTGCAAAGTCCTCCTGTCCTCAGGAAGGCTGTGAAATCAGGGGCAAAAATTTCTGTCCCATTGGTTGTGGATATATGTAGAACAGAATTTGACCTCTGTTACTTTAAATGTGTTTTGGCAAGTCCAGGTACAGAAATACAATGTGATTTTTTGCGTAAAGTCAGCAAAGGTTTTACACTGAGTGATCAAGAACAACTGAAGTACAAGAGATCTCCTTTCCTAAAATCTGTCTGCTCCGTATTTAGGTCTTGTGATTGGGAACGTACGTTCTCTCTCAGTAATATCAGGTTTTAAATTACTTTCTGATTATGATTGTAATTAGGACTATCAAAATAATACAATGTGCTGGAGCAATATTAGAAATGCTGTATTATGACAGAAGGTGAAATGGGATGACTGAGCCCATGGGGTTGTCCATCTCATGCTTCCTCTTCCTTTCAGCAAGCCACAATCTGTGTCTACTCTGTATAAAGGGCAATGGTACTCCCTACTTTACAGTTATGTTGTGAGGCTTAATTCATATTTGAACAATCTTTTGTATGTGAAAAGTATGGGAGAAGCATAATTGTTACTATAGACAGACAGAAAGCTTGGAGCTGACTTCAGTGTTTTACAAACTCTTTTAAGCTTCCGGGTACCTGGATTTTAAAAGCAAACAGTATCAATACCATCATAAGTAACAGTTAATACCGTAGGCTTGTTAGTCAGATTTAACTCTGAGTGGGCTAATTGTTCATAGCTTTTAATAATCTCTGAAAAGTGCCTCAGGTGTTATTTAAATGCTAATTTAGTAAAATATTATGACAGAAACCTCTCATTTTTCTGGTCTCTAATTGTAAAGAAAAGACCAGTATTATAAAGAGAATGTTCTTTTAAATAGTTTATCTGTAATCTATTAATAGCTATATAATTTTTGTAGTGTCTTCATCTGCCTTTATGCTAAAAGAATAATCTTGTATCAACAGTTTAATAAAGGTTAAGCTGTCAATGGCGTTATCCTGTTAGAATCCTTTAAATGGCAACAATACAATGTGTGTAAGTCTGAAGAGGTAATGTCAAAATTAATATGCACATTGTATTATGAATCTTTAAAGTATAAAGGCTGCTACGGGGTTTTTTAAGTGGTTGAGTAAGATTGTTAACTGAATGTTTTACCATGTCTCATCCTTTAATGACTTAGAAAAATAATTTCTAAATGGATTTCTTCCCCCCCCATCACCCCATATGAAGGGACTTGAGACATGTCCTTGTGAATCAGCTGACTCTTGTTGCTGGAATGGTTCCTCAGTTGAATGCTTTTTTAGATTGCCAAAAGAACAGCAAAAAATTCTTAATATAAATGAAAATTTGTTCTGAAATATGTAGCCTGTAAAAATTGAAATCCTCTTTGCTTTCTTTTTGATGCTTGCACTTTTGCAAATCAATTTAATGCTTGGAATGTCTCCTTTTCACCACTCTTCCATGTTCTTATATTTGGAAGCAGAATGCCATATTAATCTGAAATTTTGATTGTGTGAATGAGGTCAAAGTTTGACCTGTACATCTAGGTTTATTTATTCTATTTTCCTGTACAGCTTGTTTGATTTATTTTATTTTCCTGAAGTCAGTAGCACACCGTTCAGTGAGTACAGCTTTAGCAGAATCAGACTGACTGAGCAGTGGGTGCACTGCAGTATAAGAGTGGTGCTGTTACCTGTGTACAAGCAAAGGGTTTCAAATGGTGTGCAATTACTTTATCCCTTCACACAGGGCGTCAGCGTCATACACTGATAAAGATCTTCATCTTTGCCTGCAAAACTTGTCATTGTGAGAACCTGTTTGGAAGAATTACTCATTGTTATTATGCAAATGTTTTTACCAAGGACAATTTCTTTAAAAGTTTGTTACTTTAAATTGTCAGTTGACACTTTGAATAAGACTTTGAATAAGCTTCATTCTTCTCTCCAGAACAAAGGAAGAGAGTCGCATAGTTCTACCAGGTAAGACTGTTATATTTCCGTGAAACTGCATTGAAAAGCCGTGGTAAGAATATACCTCTCTGAAGCAATGAGATGGAGTGGATGCTGCCCAGGAAAGACCAACAATTTTAGAATGCATAAAAGATTTGTTGCGGTGCTCTTCTAAGTACTACTAACAACAGTACAAGATGTAAGATGATAAAAAATTAAGAATGCTTTGTAAACAATTGTGTTTCAATTCTTGTGAATAATTTACTTTCAATAGTGATTTTATTTTTTTTTTTTTAATTATTATTATTGCTGTAAGTTAGGCCAGCAGCCCGGCAATCATGTTTTGAGGCACATACGTTAATTTATGGGCGCCAGGAGGGAGTACTATCCCTCAGCCTGCCCCTGCGTTCTGAGCTCTCTTTCAGCGCTGCTGTGATTCCTAGGAAGATCGTAGTGCAGTTTATTTTGGGGCGGGGGTGCTACCGTAAGTCAGGCCGTTCCTAAAATAGACCCCAAAACTCACATTTTTTGTGTGAGTATTTGAACATTTTCCACAGCTTTCTGATGAAATTTGAGAATCTTCTGCTTCCTTGTTCGAAAACATGAAACTCAGTACGCCCTTTCAGTTCATTTCTGCTTCAGAAAACGTGAGTGATGTCCAGAAACTGAGGGGAAGAGGGAGAGGCTTTTGAGGGTAGAATATTAACTTGTAGAAGTCTTGCTATTTAGAAAGGGGCTAGTTTACTAGGAACTGTGACTGGGTTTCATGAAATGCTCTCTGAAATCTTTAGCTGATTTACCTGAGCATGCCATGAAAACATGGATTCGGTGTCTTAAAAGAGTTTGAAGAGCAAGGAAATAATTCATTAATTAGCTTAGGAGGGTATTTCCATATAGGAACAGCAGCACGTGTTCTCAGTCACTGGAGAAATAACTCCTGTGCCCTCAATTATCACAGCCTTGTCATGGCAAAGCCTGTTCAGCCCCTCTACAAAGTCATTTTGTTCGATTGTCAGGGTTCTGTAGGTGCCAGTTTTCAAATGAAGATACACCACGAACAAAAGAGAAACACGTTTATCCTGCTTTCACACATAATTTGTGTACTGTCCAGCTAAAGGCAGAACTGAAAAACCAATGCAGATGCAGTGAGCCTCCATCTTCTTTTGTTCTATTAATACCACCGTGGCTGAATATCCTGAGATTTTTGACCATGCCACGTGCCTGATATAAATAGCTGTGCAAGTAGAACTCAGCTGAGATTACCAAACTTGGCATTCTGGATTTGTGATTCAACTTGAACCACGATATTAAAAGCGAGCTGGTAATTATCCCTGCTGGCCTGAAGCTGCCACGATGACTGAGAAATGAAAGGTGCCGTTTGCTGCCTCACTGCGGTAGTGCCGGTGTGGCCCGTGCCCAGAGCTCCTGATGAGGCTCACAGGGAGTGTTCTCACACCAGGGTGCTCTCTGCCGTTCCTTCCTACAGAAAGAGCATGAAATAAGTGGAGCGAGTGTGGGCAGTCAGGCTTACCCCATCTTAGTTCTTAGATCACGATATTTTCTACCCCATCTCCCTGTCAAATCGGTCTCCTCTTCCTCCTTTTCCTTCCAGCAATCCCCCTTACCTGCGTGTCAGGGTCTTCTGTAGCTTCTGCCAAAATGGAATTGTGGGTGGCTTCAAATAAGTCTCCTTAAGTCTGAAGCAGTTACGTGTTCCAGGAAGAGGAATTTTTGTCTGGCAAGTGTTGGACATCATTCATAACAAATGGTGCTAATAGCTCTGCCTATAGGAGCCTTATACTATGTGTGTTAGTTGTTCACAACAGCTAACATAAGATGCCTAACTGCGTCTCTATTTATGTGGTTGTTTTCATCTAGATAGCAAAACCAAAATGTGTATTAATTGCATCCTTTGTCAGTGTACTGGTTTAAGCTCACAGTTAAACTAATAATAAAAAAAAAAATATAAAACTAATGTCATTTGCAACTGAAGTACTTCAGTGGTATGAATTGTTAAGATGAAGTAGAGAATTTATCTGTGCCTTGCTGTTATAAACAAATGCTTTTAAAATTCTTTAGGTAGTTGATGACTTAATTATTTTATGGTGAAAAATTTAGCTTGAGTACAAACTCAGGTTACAAAACACTAATAATTTGATTTAAAAGGCTTTACCGTTGCTGTCTAGAAATAGCTGATAAAATGATTTAGTTAGGAGACTGGAAAGTTTGCTGCACTACTTGAAATTTCTATGCAGGTAGGATTACCTACATGTAACAAAAGAATCTAAAGTGGCGTGGGATTCACAGAGGGTAACTTCATTTCAGAAGAACAGGCAGTTCTTTAGAGGAACTGGAAGATTAAGTAAGAGTTATGGCAAACATATGGCTCAGAAAAACAGGTATTCTCAGTATTAAACAGGCTATAGTCTCTACCTTATGTATACTGTCAGAGTACAAGAAATGCTATTTGAGAACAATTTTTAAGGAGCTTTCATTAATATAATGCATGCTTAGGATTAAGGAGTTATATTTGCATGTTTATGAGTGAGAGAAGGTGGAGGAAATAATAATTAGGTTGTGCACATATTCCTAGGGTTAATTAGCAAGCTGTTGAAAAAAGGGCAAAAAATACCCCACCTCTTGAGAGTTGTTGGAATCATTACTTAAGTGAAAGTTTTCTGACAGAATTCTCAATTGACACTGCTGTTCCCCGACTCTGCGTCGGCTCTGTATCTGCACAGAGATGTTACTGCAGTTTTGGCCTGAGAATTACTTCAACAGGAAAAATAGCACTGGTCGTG